AAATTCAATGCCGGCTCGGCTTTTATTTCAATCTGACATGAATCACGCGCTGACTGCCGCCGGAGTTCAATACACCTTGCTCATACTTCTCTATTCAAGCGGTTGGAAAAGAAAGAGAATACGTATCTGTACGACGGCATTTATCAATCTCGCCTTCAAAAGAAGAATGGAATTTGTTTCCTTTCTCCCCCCCCCCCCTTTTTTTTCTTTATTGTTGTATGTGCTTGTTTTGTATTTTAACGACGAATTACCGATCATTTTCTAGATTTAGATTGCGATCACGCGACACAACAATACAAACTACCATTTATTTGCAAACTGCCACTTGTTCTTATGTAGTCACGCCGCCCTATGTTTTCTTTTCTTTTTTTTTCAATTTCACGCCAAAACATTCCCGGACTGCGATGATCGTTGTAGAAAGTTTGGAAAATCGTGCCTATGATCACTCGATGTAATCTTGGTCATCCTGGCATGGTTCTTTTGCAACCAATAATGAAACGCGCGATACAGTGGCAATCATGCCCCAAAGGCACTTGGGATGAGCGTGAAACGTAACGTTGGAGAAAGACCGGGCACGGTCGTGTTTTGAGCCATTGGATTAATTGATAGGTACTAATCGTGCGAATCGAGGGCCTGATTGATGCCTATCTCGGGAATGAAAAAGCTTGGCTCAATACGCACACCGGCGAGGCGAACACCCAACAGATAGAGCCGTGATGTTAATGTGTTGTGTCATCCGTCATAACTCGGCTACCGGGCATCGTTGATTAATCGGCACCGTACCTCGTTAGACCCGCTCTGTAGCGCGTGAAATTTCCGATCGTTCGATATGCAAATGAAATTTGGAGTTTACGCTTTCGGGTCTGTCTGTCTTGTACGGGGGAAAAAAATTCGAGCAAGTATTTATCTGGTTACATGGACACAGTAGACCAATAGCGATAAGCGATGACTTGATTGATTTCGATACATGGATCCGTGAGATTACGGGCTGACTACTGTAATGGGTATTTTTGATGACCGTACAACTTTGTGTTTAGCTATCGAGGCGAGATTGTTTCACAGTTCTTCGACAATCACCTGTTTATTATTACTCGTCTTTTTTTTTATTTTTTATTTTTTTTTTTTTATTCGATCTATACGCGGAAACAAGACTTTACAGATATTCACCTCGTAAACGATTCGATTTGCAGATAGCCTATCCGGAGCTCTCGATAAAAGTTGAAATTCCAGCGTTGACGCGAAATAAAACGATTGACAGAAAAGCTCGTCGAACGACGACGCGTATTGAAAGTGTTTCGCCGATGAAAATCTTTTACCCGACATGGAAAGGGGCGAGAGAGGTACTGATAAAGAAAGTAGCATCAGATTTTTTTTTTGCCTTTCTTCCTTCCCCTGCGCTCGAGCAGTGCTTCTTTTTTTGCCCTCACGAATCAATACCTACAGTGGAAAAATTTCAACACGCCCCAGTTGAACGCAAATGAGAAGAAACGACGATATTGTAATATTAACACACAGAAAGACAGATGAACGTTATGCAGCGTGGATAACGTTCATCGTGGAGATTCGTGGAGATTAACAGGTACACTGGGGCCGGAGAAGACGCTCTTTGGTTGTTGTTTTCCCCCTTACACTGTCAAGGTCCACAGAAACCTGTGGCGCGTCCGCGCGATCGAGCCAACTCTCCATCTTCCTCGACAGACGAAAGAGAAGAAAAGCGAAAAACAAGGAATGAAGAATGAGGGAGGAGCAAGGGAGCCGGTAGATCTTTTGTTCCGGTAATGGATATCGACGACTTCCGCGGTTCTTATACACATTTACCCGGGTGAAAATAAATGAAGCGACTTATCGCTTCGGGCCGATCATCTGTATCGCACCTTCGCTCGCGAGGTTACACACACACACGGGGACTGTGAACGCATGAAAGCCCGCGCGCGCGCGCACACACACACACAAGCGTAAATGCTCCTCGCGGCCGACCGACAGCACTCGTGAGAGCGCATGGATGACGGAGCGAGAAAAACGAAGGAAAAATCAGTGAGAAAGACGACGGGGTTGGCGGGGGAGGAAGGGTTGCAGCTCCTTTCTCGGCCTTGATTTCTTCTATACATCACCTTTCCCCCCCCCCTTCCAAACAGTTTTATTCGGCGAGCTTCCGAAAGAGATAAGAGCGCAAGAAAGAGAGAAAGAGGAAACCCGAGAGTTGCAGAAATTGCGTAGAGTGCGCCGCCGACAGCATAAAACAATGGCGCATTAACATCCCAGCTGGATATTACAAGGTGCCTTGTGCGCGCACACACAAACGAGTACAGGTATACATGTACGTGTATGGCGTATATAGCGCGTATATATCCACGGCGCCGTAAAGCACGAGCAGAAGAGAGTAGCAAAAGCCCTTGGGGAGGAAGATTGTCCCTTACGTGGCTGCCGTCAGTCTCTGCTTACGGCTGTAAGCTCTCCCCGTAGCTCCCTGTGTCCCCGTTGCCCCGCAAAAATCCCTATATAAAAGGCGGGATGCTCCTTGCCTCTGGTACATTATTTCACGACCCCGCGAAGCCATCTCTAATGTTTGCGTGTGCATACATTATAATGTAAAAGCATTTTTGGGTAATGGCTTTTTTTTTGCACTGGCTGGGTTTTGGTCCACACAATGTGTATGCACGTATATACCCTTGGTAATACTATACGTCGTTTCCTCGGGAGCCCCCACTTGGGAGAGGGGTGACGTACGCTTTTGGTGTTTGCTAAGGCACAAAATTGGACTGTTGATGGGAGAGATTACGGTAAATTTGAGCTTTTGGGTCGACGCGACGACAAACGCTTCAAATAAGGCCGAGGCTACTGTGCGCACCAAGAAAATATTACATCACGAGCGCGAAGCGGTGTACGAACGAGTCAACGAACTTTTTTTTCATTTCGCTCACGCGTGGGTGGCTGCGCGCGCGCGCGTGCTTGCTTAATCGGTAAAAGTAACGGTACCAATTAAACAGTCGGGCTCGAGAAAGGGAGGAGGGGGAGGAGGGGAAAAAAGCATTTATCATAGCGCCAAAGCAAACGAATTCACTCTCACGTATGATCCACTTACTTGCGTTGAATGGTTTTTTAAAGTATACACGCGTGTATTCCTTACGGGAGAGAGGGACTTGCGCGTTTTCGTAACCATTGTTTTCTCTTGATACTTCAAAGTCAACTGTCCGTGTATGAACGGCCGACGAGCATATATTATAAACTTGACTATTGTTTAATAGCGTATACTCGGGCGCGTGGGCCATACTTATACGTTGTCGTGACGAGGGGACGGAATGACCGATCGGCCAAAAATAGCTGGGCACTGACCAACTTGGGCAAGAACGTACGAAAGGAAGGAGGGAGGGAAGAGTGTCAACGAACTCATCGCAACGGTGACGGTTGTTGACGAACCCCTTGCAACACTAATTTCGTACAATATAAGCCCAGTGGAATCGGAACGGACATCACCGCATGTGAGTACAAAAGAACGCAAATTGTTCGGCTGTATAGCGATGGCTCGCAGTCGCGGCAAGTGTCCCCAGGAGAAACCTTAAAGCCGAATAAACGCACGCAAATGGAATAAAAGCCATTAGCGCGCGATTGTTCTCGAGCTCCCGCGGTGGAGTTTCATAAACTGGCCAAGGAGTATGCGAAGGAAAAAGGGATATAAAGTACGAGGAAGAGAATGAGGGTTGACTCGCTGCAGAGTGAAATTTTAATGCGAGAGCACGCGAGTGCTCGGTTCACCGCTAAAGGAGTACGTATATGACAAGCCGAAAAGTCGCGACCCTCGAAATGTATGTACCCTATCAATAAAGACTTTAGATTCTGCTCGATACTTTACAGGTTCGAGTTGTACCTCAACCGGAAACAGTCGTCCGAATATAGAAGCCCTGTGTTGTATCGTTCCGTGACTGATGATGCGCAACAGCAAGCCCGCACGTCTTTGCTGTATATTTATACTGTATCCGTGTACTTGTGCACACACGCATTGCGATTCGCCTGCGATAAGAAAGTACGGCTGCGGGTGGGGCGATAATGGGACAGGGGAAAAAAAGTAGACAAAAAAGGGGGCCGGGTAAAGGAGGGTCGCGCTGGAGCAAAAAATAGTTGTCAGGGCTACGTTCGTTGTCTTTCGGTTGTACCTAAGGTTTTATATACATATATACATAAGTAGCCAGTGTGCAAGTACCGCGTATATTAAATGCTCGGGGATATATCGAAGCCCCCTCGATGCACCGAATGCTTGCGGAATTTCCTCGTGGCAACGCCCTCAACGCGAATACCGCACGCATACAGGTACACGCTCCTTGCTCTCTTGGTTACGCGAGGACGCTCACGCGAGTGGAAGGAGATCGGGGCCCGTATGTATTCGCTGCGGTGTTGTACAGAGGTACGCCATGCCCCATACCTGCGTACCTATTATGTAGGCGCGTGTAGCGTCATACCACTATACCGTCCCTTTCGACCATCCCAGAAGCTGCTGCTTTGCTCGTTGTTCCTGGTCTTTTTTAATTTTTTGCTCTTTTTTTTTTTTTTTCGCTTTGCAGTAGCTTCCCTCGCCCTCATCTTGTTACCCTGTTATACTACTGGCCCTTACTTCGGCCTAGCTGTTATTCCCGTGGAGGATCGATAAAAAGCAAAAATTACGGTTGATCCGATAAGAATTTTTGTCCCCTCTCCCTTGATAAATGATCGCGGTAACTCTCTTTCTTCGTTCGATGTATCTTTTTGGACATTCTTCCTGTCTCTCGTGCCCCCTACCCCGCCCTTCCCCATGTGAGTCTCATTTCGTTAGCCAACGGGGCTTCGTTTAAAGTTTGGATGCTTTTCCTTTCTACCTATACCATGTACACCGCGCAAAAAGTACCATTAGGTGTAGGAAAGCGTCGCGTTTAAGAAAAAATGTAAATATACCTAACGCAAATTATTATTTTCGTCGAGTGGAAAGTTATAATCGTTTATAAAAGTGCCATGCGTGGAAGTTGACTTACCGGGATTGCTGTCGGCGTTGGAGCTGAAGAGGACACAGAGCCCCGTCTCGTAATTGACCGCCTGGCACGAGTCGTTGGATTGACAAGTCTCGAGGCACTCGGTGAGCATGAGGCTACCGGGTATCGACTCTATCATGTTCTTGGGGGCGGTGTACACATAGCCGGTGACGAGCTCGAATCCGACCATGTCGGGGTCGCACTCGTCGAGGAGCCCACCGCCATCACCGCCACCACCGACACCACTACCGACACCGCTGCCACCGTTCGGGCCGGCGTAATCCGCGTCCGATAGCAGCGTACCGGGCTGCTCTATGGCCCCGCCGGCTACCGCCAGGGCCGTTGCCTGGACGAGCAGCAGCCGCAACAGGAGCTGCCTCTTGGTTCTCATTATGTGTCTCTTGCGTTTTACGTTAAAAAAAAAAAAAAAAAAAAAATAAGAAAAGANTTTTTTTTTTTTTTTTTTTTTTTTTTTTTTTTTTTTTTTTTTACCTTATGCATGTATGTATGTGTATACTCATACCTGTGAATCACTTTTTTTTTCGTCCTATTCGTTCCGCGTCAACCAGCTCCTCGAGTTGCCCGTATAAATTCGCTTTTCTATACGTGCAGCCTCCCCTCTTTCCCTGTTGGCCTTCTTTTCGATGTTGCAGGCCGGCTTGTCGTGCCTGAAAACGCCATATCGCAAGCATACCGTGCATCTCTTTCTAGGGAGATAGATAGACCGATAGAGAGGCGGGCAAAAATTCAGCTACCGGAATCTCGTGGAATCCTCTTATCCCACTTTTCTACCGACTTATCTCTTCTCTCCCTCCTCCCGCTTCTTCTACTGCTTCTCCCTGATCCTCTCTTTTGCTCGCTCTCTGGAATCCCGATTTTTTCTTGCACAAGCCAAATTATTTAAACGACCGGTCTATCGAACCTTTTGTTAAGAGCGTGCACCCAATGCTTCAACGATCCTTGATAATGCGATCTTACTTACTACTTACTTCATTAGTATAGGATATTTGCAAGGGTAGCTTATACATGAGATAAATACGAAACCTTTTATGATTATCCACAAGTTGGCCCTTGGCTCATACATCCTCGAGAGTAAAAATTTCCTAATTGTCTCGCAATTTGCCCTTTCGTTTTTCACACGTATTATTATTTTATTTATTTTTCTGTAATTCATGGTTCAGCAAAGCTGATGAGCTACATTTTTTTTTATTCCCTCTGGCTTTGCCTGTACATTTGTAGTAAAAGTGCTTATACCCGCATTAATTTTCAAATCACTATAATTATCTTATCCTCGTTGTTTGTTGACATCCCTTTGCCATTGAAAAACAAATCACGTGATGGCGTGTATGCACGTGATATTTGCTCTATGTGAATTTTCCCGACTTTACACGCTGCTGGTGGTGAAGTCATGTGATTTTTTTTTCTATTTCTTCTCTGCGCGCTGAAATAACCATAATTTATTATTGCTGCAGTACAAGTGCGAAAGACAAAATGATGTACCTGGACCTACTATTCGGGCGCTGTAGCAGCCCTGTAAAAGCACAATGCATACAAATAACATACACACGATATCCGTGGAGGTATGTGTACCGTAGGAATCGGAGTGGTTGATGTCGATTAAAACTCTGCCCTTTTTTTTTCTCTTCTCGATGCATACATAAGTATACATTCCTGCAAGTCCTCTACACGAAATCGAGAACGATTAGATGGGCTCTTTGACTCGATTGCACACAGCACACGTATACACCTACAGGTTCGTGCACTTTCAAGACTCGTGCAGTGCTACAGAAAAAGAGCCCGTCGGGGAGAGAGTGAGGCAGAAAGAACGAGCTTCCTCGATAACTAAGCAACTGGTTTATAAGTAGGTGCACTGCAGCCGGGAAACAGGCTCTCTTTAACCATCGCGGCTCGCCTTAAATGGGGCACACACCAGCGACGATGGCTATTTTTAAACTTTCTTTGAAATTGAACGCTATAACGTGTACACACGCGTGCGATTTATTTACCTCATATTTATAGACGGCATTAACGAGTTTGTAATTGTGGCTTACGGTATAATATGATCTCCTCTCCCTGCCTATACAACGTCACGTATGTACACCGTGTGTACACTCAAACGTGTCTCTTGCTACGTATGTTTTTTTTTCCCCTCTCGAGAGTTACACTCCTTCGTGCTTGTACGTTGCATAGAGTGAGACAGACAGGGGAAGATAAAAAAAAACGAGGAGGGTGGTAGTTAAAGAAATGACACGGTATTTTAAAAATACGGACTACAACACAAGAGTCAATTTTAGTCGAGAGAGAGAGAGAGAGAGGTGTTAATGCTTACTCCTCGGGAGGGTGTGAGCCTACTACAACTGCCTCGTAGGAGCCATGGGTGCAGAAACAGGGATGTAGTAGAGTTCGCGGGAAAAGCATCGTTGCGATCATGTGTCCCTCGGGTAGTTATTGTCGGAGGAGGAGGAGGAGGAAGGGATCGGTCATATATGTATATATAAAGTAGAGATGAGAGACTCGGCTTCGATGTGTACCATAATATAAGCAGCTAGCTCGCCGCGGTGAATATCAGCCAGCCAACTCTGTACAACTCTGCTGGCTCTGCGCGTGCACTTGTGTGTGCATATGTACCTATATATTATGTACACGCGCGATGCATCTGAGCGAACAAGTGGGCGGAGGCGGCAGTAACCTGGCTCTCGAGCCTCAGCTATGCGCCCGGCAAGTAATGTGGTAATTAAACTTTGACTGCATTACGCCGGGGTTCCGAGACTTCGATCCTGTCTCCTCTGCGCACGGGCTCTCCTAGCTCGCTGCAGTCTATATTCGGTGGGTGTGTGTGTGTGTGTGTGTGTTGCCAGTGTCGCGCGAGAGATTGATGATGTTCTGCCAGCATACATTGCCCCCATACCAACTTAACTCGACTCGGCTCACCCTCCGCGTCCCCTCATCTCTCGGCTCATCCTCCTCAAGGCTCAACTTCCTACCCTCGATCCCCCTACTTTCTACAATACCGGGCACAGGTATAGGTACGACACATCCACACTGCTCTTGAAATTCGATTTCAATCGATTCGTCAGACATTATTGTGCTTTAGTTAAATTATTATTATTATTATTATTATTATTATCATCATCATCATCATCATCATCACACTATACGCCGTGAATTATCGTTGCTTTGGTTCCTCGTTGCGACCCGTACCTCTCTTCTTTCGTTTACTGTAATGTACACGGATAGAAAGACAACATACCTATCAAAGGCGCCATTTTTCTGCCTCGGTGTAATGATAAGTTCTAATAACCTCGTTAAGTTGAAAAAAAAAAACAAAAAAAAAAAAAACCCAGTATTTTCATACGATAAAAGCAAAGTCACTCTTATATTCTTCTTCAGTCATTCTTTACTGTTACTTGTAATTGAATTCATGGCCCCCCCCCCTTCTTTTGATAATCAAGGACAGCTACGTATGGACCAAAAAAAATGTGTATATTATTTTGTGAAAAATGAAGCATCAAATTAGTATATAATGTACTTTTGTCACAGTGCCATTTTTCGACAGTGCCCTGGCATCCATAAATATAACCATAATGACCACACATGTTGTACGTATGAAAAACAACTCTCTCCATCGATACACATACGGCACATTACACGTTCATCTATCCATATTGAAGTCGTAATGTCGTAAGTCGTAAGTCGTACGTACGGGCTGTTGATGCATATATCTCACGTGGGATGATGCTGTTGCTTCTTACACGCGTAAAAGCATTTGTTCGGCCACCTTTTTTCCACTCATTGTCGAGATACAAGTCCCCGGCTGTTAATACCAAGTGGGGGTGGGCTGAAAGGGGGTATAAATAATAACATAACCACACGCGTAATAATATCTTGTTGCCCGCCGTCATGTACACCTACATGTTAAATTCATACCAATTATTGCAGATTGAGAAATGTCGGGGCTAATAACAGTACAAACGCTTCGTCGTTTATCAAACTCGTGTACATATATAACATGTATGCGCGGGTATACGCACGTTGGTCGGTTACACGAGTGCACGAGCGATGCAGTAATATAAATGCGCGGCTGTACGGAACATAAAGCAGTGCTGCGAGGATTTCGCGTGTGTCCCGATGATTCTTGCATTTAATTACGACGTGGGCGGCTGCTGCTCCTGACAATGTTGCACCAAAAACGACAAAAACACAAACTCGCATCATCATCATCATCATCACCGCGTATATCCTCCCGCATCCTTCAACCGCTTGTTGCGGGTGGGGGGTAACAACACCGCAGCCCCGACTTTCCGCGATTACATTTATTTGGGGGAGGGTCGAAGGTGGATCGTTGAAAAATACCCCCGCGAGCCCATTGTACGGCGAGGATGAGTACGCGTGATAATTAAACTGGGTGTGTCGGGTCGCCGTGACGGTAATGGCAGTGAGGAGCTCCTCTCATAAAATAATGTGGCTGACTCGCGCTCTAGGGGAGATGGAGAGATGCTGATTAAGGCTTTTATCGTTACCTCTTGCCGACGTTCCTCCATCTTCTTCGCTTCTCACTCTATTGAAAATTAGCGTGCTAAATTTGATATAATCAAGGGTAATGTTAATGGGATGATCGAAAGGAGGAATGCCGAGGGAAAAACGGGGAGCCCTCATCCACCCCCGTACAAATTTTCATAGCCGGAATCTGACTAATTATCGCCATATCGCCGTCTATGATATTCATTGTCCCGGGGTTGTGCTCGTAAATCGCGAAAACTTTAATTCTCATGTAATCGGATATCCTTCTCTCCGATATATATACGCAACTTCTCCGATTCTGTAGGTAATGGAAAATCGATCAAATTACTAAGTTCGAGCGCTGCTTATAGGTTACTTACTCTCTACTAACTTTGAGCCGTTCATCGATAGCTTAAACTTCAATTTCGATGGAAAAATGAAAAAAAAAAAAAAAAAAAAAAAAAAAAAAAAAAAAAGCTTGATTGTCTTCCAAAGTCGAACGTCCGCCTTAATTCGCGAAGATTGATTTCCGAGACAGAAGGATGAGCGTACAGAATAGAGTAGGAATAATAAGGATCGATAAATCAGTGCCGCGGCAGGGGCGTGGTGAGGGGGAGGAGTGGGGGAGGAAAAGAGCAGCGGTCCCATTAATTCCGATTGTGCGTCGTCGCGCGTCGATGCCTCGGAAGGGGCCCGAAATTATCATTAAACACACTGCCGTTGCTCGCTCGAGAGCCCGATGCAAAAAGTAAAAGTGAGCAGTAGCGACGGAAAACCTCCGCGCTCATTAATTCATCTCGGTTTTTTTGTTTTTTCATTCGTTTTCATTTGTTTTTATTCATATTATCATGCCTTTTATTTTAGTCTCGATTTTTGTTACCTCGCGCATGG